TGTTACCACGCATAACGTATGGAAATCCTTACGTCATCTTTATCGGTGATCGTTGACTATGATCTATTAAATCAAAGAAATGAAAAAAGAAAGAAAAAAAAAAAGAAGAAAATGAAGCAACAAAATTTATCATAAATATCTACGTATCGCTAAAATTCTATATGCGTATATGTAGACGTACGTGTGTACGACATTCGAACTAAGCTTTCTCCATTGAAATCGAATAACTCGTCACGTATTCGTGAATCATATCTCACAGAATGTTTTTGTGGTCTCGTATATAATCGTGGCAATTGTCATAACATGTTGCGATATTTTTAGCATACGCACGATCATCGTTACATTGTAAATACATTCGACGTGAGTTAAATCGTTCCTTCGAAAGAAATATGCGTAAATGTTTTCTCCTGTAATTTATTTTTTTTCTTTCTTTCTTTCTTTCTTTCTTTCTTTCTTTCTTTCCTTCTTTTTTTTCCTTTTTTCTCCTTTTGCCTTATCCATTTCCTTTTTTTTCTTTTACCTTCTAAATTTACTTTCCATGCAATTGTCTCATTAACAATCACTTTAATTGAGAACGAACGATCCGATAAATGACGACTTTATTTTCGTAAAGTCTTTACGTTGAACACTAGAAGACACTTAGTTTCGTACGAGCCAACACGAGGAGGTTCAGCGAATTGAACGTATTAAGTCAATTAAGGACACGAAATCGAAACGGCGTGCGAGCGGGGTTATCTCGTGCAAATCGACTGGAACGCCGGAACTGTCATTAATTAATTACGAAGTCAACGAGCTAGCACGCGAACGCGAGCTATTATATTCGTCGGTGCATCGTCAATTCGTATTTACGATCAATGCGTCGAAACAATACGAGATCATGACGCAACGCTTAGGTACATAGATAAATATCTCTGCGTATGTATATATATATATCGATGATGTTCGACATGCGATGTTCATTAAAATGTTTGAAACGATAATTTCTAAATAATTAAAGTGACGATTGAATGACAATGTTTCTTAAGGAGTAAATTTCTCAATGTTTCTCTTCTTCTTCTTCATTTTTTTTTTATTTTTATTTTTATTTTTATTTTCCATTTTTTCCTTTTTTTCTTTCCCCTCCCGTATATAATCTCGGAATTATCGTCTTATCGTCATCGTTAAAAAAAAAAGAAATCCTCGCGTCTTCATTCAACGATACTTTTATTGAACATTGTGGGAAATAGAAAAATGAATTGACTCATTCCTAGAAAGATTACGATGAGAAACAAGTAACTGTTTATAAAGAACAACGGAATCTTTGATTCATCATGAAAAACGTTAAGCGGGGTTGAAGGTACTCCGTTTGCGAATACGTTTCTTTCTTTCGTTTCTTTTTTTTTTTCTTCTTCTTCTTCTTCTTTTTAAGAACGTTGAGAACTAGACGAATGAAAAGGAACGAACAAAAAGGAAAGGAGAAAGAAAAAAAAAAGAGAAAAAAATAAGAGAAAAAAAGACCGACTGTTGTTTTCATTTCCAACCTCAACCTTGTGTGTTTCTGGTCCTTTGTGTCGTCGTCGTCGTCGTCGTCGTCGTCTTCGTGGTCGTCATCATCGCGAAGCTTACCATAAAATTTATTTTTATCGCGACGGCACCCATGCGCGTTTTTTCCCATTCAAGGGCATACATATATGACGTACGTACGTCGAGGGGGGTGAAAGTCAAATAAATTGTCGCCTATTTTCTTTCAACACCTGAAAGATTCGTCGGTCGGGGTTCCTGATGCGAATGGATGCATCAGCCCCAACTCTAATTAACACCACTAACCAAAGAAAAATCTTTTCACTAAATGACTTCTCTGGTACGTACGTTACCTACATATATACATATATATATATATATATATATGTATGTATATGTTTATGTAAGTACGTCGTAACGCATGCCATGAAAAAGTTACGTGTCACGCAATGACACGATCACAAGTTTCTCTCTCTCTCTCTCTCTCTCTCTCTCTCTACACGTGAACGTACATCTTTTTCTTCCTCTTTTATTTTCTTTTCTTGTTTTTCTTTTTTTCTTTTTTTTTATTTTTTATTTTTTTTCTACATTACCTTTCCCCCGAGACACTCCATACACCAATGATTTCGAAAAAGAAGAAACGAAAAGAAAAATTTTCCCCGATAACGTTGTTTTTGCAAAAATCGATAAGCTCAACGTGCTTATCTTCCTCCTCCTCTCTCTCTCTCTCTCTCTCTTACCTTTCCACTAATCGTGTATATCAATTTACGAGCTCGTTAATATTTTCACGAAAACCGCCTCCACTTTTCTCATTAATTTCTTGGCTCGTTAAGCGAGCATCTATAAATCGTGTCACTTACACGAAAGCTACCTAAGTGCCGGTTTAATTAATGAGATTGTACTTTTTAATTCGAGCGTACGTAATTTAAGGAGAGAAACTACATTTCAAATATTCTCTATTACTTTCTCTATTTCTTACTAATAATTTTCTTCCTTTTTTCTTTTCTTTTTTCTTTTTCTTTTTTTTTCTTTTTTTTTCTCTTTTTTATCTATCACTTTACTATCGAACGTTTGTTTCTACAAAGATTTAATATTTGAATGTAGTCATTAGAGACCAGCCACATGAATACGAGGGTATATATGATGGATATGCTCGAGAGAGTTAGCGTGATGTTGCAGGAAATAGAGGAAATACTGAATGTATGTTACACGAGTTAATATCATGGTTATTTCAGTTGAACGTAGCGACGTATGTTTTAATCGGAGTAACCGCTTAATCCTGCCGATTATCCGACGACGTAGAATTTAATGTAAGCTAAGTTATTACTGTGAGGAAAAATGAGAAAATTGAAAGAAGTATAAAAAAAAAAAAAAAAAAAAAAAAAAAGGAACAAAATAGAAAAAAAGAAAAGAAGGAGAAGAAAAAATAAGAACAGTATTACATTCGTGATGTGACTCGCGTATTTTTTTGTCTTTTTTTTTCTTTTTTTTTTTTTTTTTTTTTTTTTTTTTTTGTTAAACTAAACGAACGAATATCTATGTCGAGCGTAAATATGAAAGAAAAAAGAAAAGGAAAAAACAGAAAAAAAAAAAAAAAAGAAAAAAAAAGGATATGTTACAAGTATACACAAGGTACACCTATTCACTAGTAAAATAACACGGAGGATTTTATAGATTATTGGTTTTTTCAGTGTTTTTTTTTTTTTTTGTTTCTTTTCTTTTTTTCTTTAGTTCAACTTCGTTCTGGTTTTTCTTTTTCCATCGAAAAAAATATATATACGTAGTACATCGATCGTATCGTTATTAAAATAAAATTGCTCGATCGCTTTTTTCTTTACTCTTTTATATTCTTTCTTCTTCTTCTTTTTTTTTTATCTCTTTCTCTCTCTCTCTCTTTCTTTCTTTTTTAAGGCTCAAGGACGTCGATAGAGATCTCCAAAGATGGGTGAAACGTGGCCAGTTAACGCACGGTCAATTTTCATCGACCACTGGAAGGTCAACGATTGGCCGATCGGGTTCAGCAGTCAGGCCGCTGTCGTCCTCTGCTTGGCTAATAACTTAATGACGGGAATTCGCCACTTACGTTCTCTTTCTTTTTCTTTTTCTTTTTTCCCTCCTCCTTTCTCTCTCTCTCTCTCTCTCTCTCTCTCTATCTCTCTCTCTCTCTGTCTCTCCTACCTCTTTCTCTTCCTCTTTCTTCTCCTACTTCTTCTTCTTCTTCTTCTTCTTCTTCTTCTTCTTCTTCATCTCCTTCTTCATCTTCTTTTCTTCACTTTCGTCCTCTCTTCCTTTGATTGGTCAATAATTTCCGAGTAAAACGATCCACTCGATAAACGGGAAACAATGTTGAAAATTGGATGATCCTTAAGTGGAATATCCATTAACATTTTATCGCATTCGAATAAACTGTTTATGATCAAGAGAATATATATATATATATATATATATATACACACATATATATTACTATGCATACAAGTAATGTATACGTACATCTCATTTTTATCAGATTTAAATGTACTCACATTATCCCCGTATATCCGATATTATTGGATCGTTTAAATTCGCATGGAAGATGTTCGTACTGGTAAATTATGTTAATGAGAAAGCGAAATATAATCGCCAATTGATTGTAATACATGTTCGTTCCATGATTTCATATTCTTACGAGACTCTTTCGAATGCATTATTTCAAGGATTTGAAAATAAAGGGTAATCTGGTCTGATCTCCTTCGGAACTTCGAATTGAATGCTTTGCGCATTTCAATGAAGAACTCTATCCACCCTCTTACCCCTCCCCCTTTCTCTCTCTCTCTTTTCTTCTTCTTCTTTCTTTTTTTCCCTTTTCAAAAGAATGCTCGTCGATGTATTCTTTGCCGAGGGTTTTATTTTTCCATAATAACGAGTTATTTGACCATAAGAAATCGCCATTAACGTGGATAATTATTATTTATCGTATTATCGTATATTAACCGAATGCTTTCTATTACGTGAAATATTCACGGCCAGAAACGAATCGTATTTTTTAGTTCCATTAAAGTCAATTTTCATTCAGCGTTCCAATTTATCGTCTTTACGGTTGTTACGGTATCACAACTCTATTCGACTAACTGAAATCAATTAAACGCTCGAATGGTAGTAAGATCGCTTCGATAATTTCTCTCTGTTCAAGTTCATCCAAGCGAAACGTACTCGTACGAAAGAGTTTCGAGTGTTGCTTGTGGTAATGGCGATGGTGGTAAAGGTGATGGTGGTGGTAGTGGTGAGGGTGGCGATGGTGGTGAGGGTGGCGATGGTGGTGACGGTGGTTTCGTGCTTTACTCTCGCATTGCTTTTATCAATCGATTCGAAATGTTGCACGTGCTTTGAATATAGATAACACCTTTTATATATCGTAACTCGCGAAGAAGCAACCGAGTTAATCTCGTTCGAGATTTAATCGAGACTTTCGCGAAACTTTTCCTCTCTCTCTCTCTTTCTCTCTCCCTCTTTTATTTTCTCCAAAAGAGAAGAGGAAAAAAAAAAAAAAAAGAAGAAGAAACAAAACAAATTCTCTTTGTTAAACAAACCGTACCTTTTGATACTCAATTATTTAATCTTAAAATGAACAACTCTATACTAATTACGTCCAATATTATCAAATCATTCGAACCATTCAAACAACTGACTTTACTATCGCGTGTCTTGTAAACTGCCGAGCTAAGTTTTTACGTAATAAAAACCTTCACGTGAACCTTCGCATTTTTTTTTTTTCTTTTTTTTATTCCCCACTCGAAATAGAACATTCATTCGTGCAGGTACGATCGCATCGTACACACAATCGCTCGGTCCTTACTAAAGCCTTCATTTCATTTTATCTTATCAACGGACATTGTCCGTGTCGGTGTCGACATTGTCGTCCACGTCGCGATCGTTCGTTTTCCTTTGCCGACGACACCCTTGAGAAGGATCATATCTATATATGATCTTTACGTGATCGGCATCAGTATCGTATTGTTAGATACGTGTTCATTCAAAGTTTCTGCTATTGAAAGAAGAATGGATGTGAGTGTTATATATATATATAAAAAAAAAAAAAAAAAAAATCTTAAAAGTTTTCTTCATCACAAAATTATTCATCACAAAAATTATTTTTCGTACGATTCGTCGTGAAAATCGTATACAATGATGAGTAAAAATTTTTCTAAGAATTTATTTATAGAATATATTCGTTCGTATGACGTTCATTTTTATATGTTAAATAATCAATTGTAATATACAATGGTTGCATATATAAATCAATGTGAATTTACATTTTTGAAAATTTTATGTAATGTCTTTAATTTTGTTCACCATTGTTTATATATATATATATATATATATATATATATATATATATATATGTATGTATACTATATATTGATGTTACTAGCGTTGATTTAAATTCATGTCGAAGTTATACATGAAAAGTTTTTAATAAGTACGCTTATAAGTTATAGATCTTGAAGTAACGTAAGATGAATATCAAATGAAACGATTCTTTTTACAGAAACAGACTATCCAGAATGGGACGTCGAAGTTGCAATGGCATGACTATATAATCATTGGTATAGTCCTACTAATCTCTGCCAGCATTGGGATCTATTATCGATTCACAGGCGGTCGACAACAAACTACCGAGGTGTTTACCAGACTAGAAAATTAATTTCAATGTTGAAACGTTCAAAAATCAATAGCTTTCTCTTTCTTTCTCTCTCTCTCACTCTCTCTCTCTCTCTCTTTTTCTTTCTTACTTTTTCAGATTGCTATCAGATATAACTGATAATTCATGTTGAACCACACACCTAGATCGCAATACTTAAGAGAGATCGTCTATGTTCCGCGTTTCTTATCCATAACGATCTTACTCTCGAAAGTATAAATATTAGCAAGTATATAAATTAGCGACTATAGATCGCTAGTAAATTATCGCTTACCGTAGTGTAAGCTATTTCCGAAATACTCGTGGACGCTAATTAACGCTCATACTATCATTACGATCTGATTACGATACGATAAATCTTGTCTTGTAAGAGAGCCCCCATTGAGATAGATATCATCGTTATTTTCTTATAATTTTAAACGTACAATTTTAAACGTAAATACTTTCACATAATTGCGAGTTAATTTACTTAAAAAAGAAAAAAAGAAAAAAGAAAAAGAAAGAAAAAAATAAAGAAAAATCTGTGATCGACAGTATCAATAACGTCGTACTATAGATCCTTATTTTTGATTATTTTTATTATCAAAAAAAAAAAAAAAAAAAGAAAAAAGAGAAAAGAAAAAAATGAAAATAACTCGTCAGGATGATAATAAATCAATCAGGATAAGGGGAGTGTTTACAAAATTAATGTATAAATATCTTATTAATTAAGTTCTTAATCATATATATATATATATATATATATATATATATATATATATCATCAAATCGATAAAGCAATAGTTCATTTTATATATATACTATGCTAAGTAATTTATCAACGTATAGGAATACTTCTCAGCCGATCGATCCATGAAGATTTTGCCATTGGGGATAGCCATGACAGTTTCCTTCATATCCGCGATTACGATCCTTGGAATCAGCGCGGAAATCTACGTCCATGGCACGATGTTCACCGTACTTTCCCTTGGCTTCATTGTTGGAGCGCCTATCGCCATGTACTGCTACCTACCAGTCTTCTTCGAGTTGAAAGTCATAAGCGTCTTCGAGGTAATTGACGACGGCATTGAACGATCGTACGATCGATCGTTCGATCGATCGATCGATCGTACGACCGATCGTTCGATCGTTCGTTTCTTAGGATCATCATTTCGTCGAACCTATACGGTAGTTCTTGTTACATGAGCGTCCTAAAAGCCTAAAGTTTTTTTGATCCTCATTTAAGATAACTCATCAGTATGTTAAAAATCCATTACTTAAAGTCACTTAAGAATTAGATTATATTCTCTCTTATTCTTAACGAAGATAAAAATTAAAAAATTTCTTTACTTTTTCTCCTTCTTTTTTCTTTTTTTTCTTTTTTCTTTTTTCTTTTTTTTTCTCTCTCTCTCTTGCAATCTACCAGTATATAGAGAGAAGATTTGGAATAAAGATTCGTTTATTGGCCAGCATCGCAAACTTCTGCCATATGACTTTACACACGGGAATCGTTCTTTACGCTCCCTCAATAGCCCTAGAGGCAACCACCGGCTTGTCCAGTACCTTAAGTATCATCTTAATCGGCATAATCTGTACGTTCTATTCAACGATTGGTGGGATGAAGGCTGTCTTAATAAGTGACGTTTTCCAAGGCCTACTTATGTTCCTATCGACATTGTGCATTGTTGGGATCGGTTCCAGTATCCTACCAAATGGAATTTATGATGTTTGGGATAGAGCTATGAGAGGTGATCGTATAAATTTGAACGTGTAAGTTACATTGATTTTGATTTATAATTATTTATTTACTTGTTAATTTATTGATCCTCATTGATCTTATCGATTTTAATTAATTAAAAAAACAAAACAAAAATTATCGTTCATTGAACAGGTTCACTTTGGATCTTACTATACGTCATACATGGTGGGGTCTATTATTTGGCGGAACTTGCATGTTTCTTACACTTTTTGCCGTTGGTCAGGTCCAGGTCCAACGTCTTTTGACTGTCAAGTACGAGACTAAAATTATTAATCGTTTTGATTCATAACAAATGCTAAATTAATTACTTTCATAATATGATACGTCGATAACGGCCAAGATAGATAAATAGAGAGAGAGAGAGAGAGAGAGAGAGAGAGAGAGAGAGAGAGAGAAAGAGAGAGATGATTCAGATAATATCTAAAAAAAATCCCTACGGCACCGGCAAGCAATTAGTACCAACGTCACAATATTCTGATATCGCAAACATATTTGACCCCCTATCAAAAGGTCTTAGCAATGATAGATCGCAAGTAAGACATCGTCGTTTCATTGGATTTCAAACGAGATAAACACCGGTTTTTCCATTTTCACGATGTCAGTTTTATAAATACAACTGTTGATTTACTATACCAAATTATTCCCCGTCTCGGAGGAATGCTTCCAACGAATACTTCCGCAATTTGCTTCGGTTATGAGTATTTTCTCTCTGATAGAACGTTTGTAAGATACGATTCTTATAACGAGTGAGATTAATTTAATCTAATATATGCAAATGCATATATTCGATTATGTCGAAAAAAAAAGGAAAAAAAAAAAAGAAAAAAAAATAAAAATTCTCATTGTACTTATAAGATAGATTTCGAAGATCAATGTTTGATTAATATTATTTCATGATTTTTAGAAACTTGAGAGCTTCCCAGATGGCCCTAATATTGAGTGCTATAATAATGTTTACCCTGATAATGACCACAATCTTCGCAGGCCTCGTTATGTATGCTGTTTACATGGATTGCGATCCAATGAAGTCTGGAAAAATATCATCGACCGATAAACTCATGCCATATTTTGTAATTGACAAATTGTCTTATATACCTGGCTTCACGGGGCTCTTCATTTCCGGAGTCTTCAGTGCAAGCTTAAGCACGATCTCGGCAATGTTGAATTCACTTGCCGCACTTGCCATCGAGGATTATATAAAACCGATTTATTCGAAAATTGGTGCTACATTTCCAAAAGAAAAAGCAACACTTTTGGGTAAACTACTTGCCGTTTTAAATGGAATAGTCTGTATCTCTATCGCCCTGATAGCTGGAAAACTCGGTAGCTTAATCGAGGCGGTGATTGGATTGATAGGAATAATTGGTGGTCCTTTATTGGGTATCTTCACATTTGGAATGTTTTTCGAAAGTGCCAATGAAATTGGTGCAATCGTTGGAATGATTTTCACTGTGATTACGTTAGGTTTTATATCTTACGGTTCGAAAGTGACTATAACGACATTGCCAATGTCCATTGATGGTTGTGAGAATGGAACGTTACTGATGTTGAATGAGACAATTGGATTAAACTCGACGATCAGGTATGCCAATTATTAAATATTCTTTTTATTTCTTTTTTTTTGGTTTTCTTTATCGTTCCCACGTTAAAATATCTCATTGACAAATATAATTTAATTTAAATTTTAATTTAATTGAAAAATTATACTGACGAATTACTGATAAATAATTTTAACTATAACGTTACGTTAATTAACGTTAAAGATACTTAAGATTATTCACAAACTTATTACATGGAAGAATTAACTTCCTGATTTCTTTTCTATCTTCTGTGAACTAACTCTCTCTCCCTCTTCCTCTCCCTCTCTCTCTCTCTCTCTCTCTCTCTCTCTCTCTCTCTCTATTTATCTCATGTATACATATATATTATTCATATATAACATATGCTTCCGGTAATAATTCAAGCGTATAATATAACGACGAGTATAAAGTTTATATTAGATTATGCCGATCTAAATATATTAATTTGCTTTCTCCCGATTAATGAGAGATCTTAATCGTAATCCAAAAAAAAAATCTCGTTTCCTTTATTTTTCAGTAACAATTCGGACGTTCCATATATAAATCGAATATCGTATTCTTGGTATCCAGTGATTGGAATGTTATTAACAATTATCGTGGGATATTTGACCAGTTTAATAACAAACAATTGTATTGGCAATACACGTGATTGTATTGATCCTAATCTCTTTACACCGTTTATTGCGGCTAGGATCAAAAAGAGACGTCAAAATGAACAAAGGGTGACATCCAGTCAGATGTTCGTTTTAGAACCGAGTTATAGAAAATAAAATGGAATTAATTTAAATAAAGTGACACGTTATTACTTACATATGTATAAACGAATTAGAAGTATTGTGTTCATAAATTATAAATAATATCGATGTCAATTTGTAAATACCGATTAAGGTCATCGTAATTGTTAAATTTCCGAAGTGAGATTTTCTCTCACGAAGGAGAAAAGAACATGAAAAAAAAGGGAGAAAAAAGAAAGAAAAAAAAAAAAGAGAGAAAAAGAACAAAGGAAGGAAGAAAAAGAAATAAACAAAAAGAAAAGTTAAAAAATAATTACGTCTACGTTGAAAATCTCTCGGTTGAATAGTCTCGAACGTTGAGTTACGTTCGGAACAATGAAATCAGGTTAATTTGTCGCCTGGTCGACTCGGTCGTTTGGTAGGTCGTTTGGTAGGTCGGCCGGTCGTTCTCCGTTTTACATGATTACGTCGACGCATATCCTTTTCCGCCAATCGTTCCTCATTAAAGTGCAAACACGAAGCCAAGAAGTCAAGTGTGTTAAAAGTAAATCTAGTACTTACAAATTATTAAAGGAGCTTCTAATTATATTTTAAGTCCGTTCCCTTTCTTTTACGAGTCCAATTTTCAAGATAATCACTTTAACTCTTTAACCATTGCAACGGTAATTGTTTAACGAGTGCTCGTTGAATAAACTTTTATGTATATGCGTATGTAAATATATGTAAGACGATTAGTCCATTTTTATGAATGTACGAAGAATTGTTAACTAAGTGAGGAACACCCGACTCGTAAAAATGAAAATGACAATGACTATGACGACCCTTAAAAAAGAAAAAGGGAGCAGTGTGAGAACGTCGTCCAATAATATCCGGTACAACGTTTTAGGGGAATCCCTTTTTAGTTTCTATCATTAAAATGATTAAAACTTTTTCTCCTTTTTTTATATTCCTCCCTCCCCCTCCCCCTCCCTCCCATCCTTCCCTCCTTCTCTCTCTTTCTCTCTCAGATTTTCGAAGGAAAAAAACTAACAATGTCTAAATGACAAATTCTAACGATCTATGACAAAGAGAGAGAAAGAGAGAGAGAAAGAGAAAGATACACACACAGAGAGAGAGAGAGAGAGAGAGAGAGAGAGAGAGAGGGAGAGAGATAGTTTTCGAAGTCTTCATTATCATTTCGCTTTCATAAAAATTCTAATTGCAACATCAAAGAAGAATATCTTTTGTCCTATGCATTCGTTGAATTGAGAAAATCGCGACAGTTTGGAGTCGTCTGGAATTCCTGAAAGGGCTCTAATTGTTCGTGGCCGGCTGCTCGCGCGCGTGCGGTTTAGAAAGATAAAGAGAGAAAGAAAAAAAAGAGAGAGAGAGAGAGAGAGAGAGAGAGAGAAAGAGATTTTCTTTTCTTCCGAGAGAAATGGAGTGGTTTTCAAACACGAACGTGAACAGTCTTCTGCGGCTGGGTGACGCGGATATCCGTGCGCACAATGAGAGGGTCTATCTTCTCTCCCTTCAACGATACGGGATCTATGCGATGTGTACACATTTCTATGTAGGTACTATGTATACATATATATATATATATATATACACGTGTACATGTGTATGTGTATGTGTGGTGTGTGTGTGAGAGAAAGAGAGAGAGAGAGAGAGAGAGAGAAAAGGAAAGAGAAAGGAATTGCATGCATCTAAAGGGGGCTATGTGTGGAGGAGGGGAGGGAAGTAGAAGAGAAGGATGAACGTAAATTCCTCATGAATGGTACGTTGACCAGGAGCGTAGTCTTCCTGACGTCTCGATTTCCTACTACTAGCCACTGTTTACATTCATCTTTACACGTTAAACTACGATTTATCAATAGCAATAATTGAAATGTTAAATTAAATATAATCGATCGGCGATTAATCGTCAAAATTATTGAATATGATTGATCCTCGGTTCAAAAGTACCCGTATAATTTTTATTTCTACGTCAATTAATCATTTTCACGAGATGTTTCGTTTGCTTCCTTTTTTTTTCTTTCTTTTTTTTTTTCTTTTTTTGGGCGGGAGGGGGGGGGAGAGGTGAGAAAAAGGAAGATCCAATTTTATTTCTCTCCCTCTTTCTATCTCTTCTCGATTTTAAATAAAAAGTTCCGAGTAGACGCGCGTAAGCTTCGCATAGTGAAATAATTTTCAGATGTTATTACGATTAGAACGTATCGGAGAGATAGTTCGATAAATTTTTGAAATGTCTGATTTAAGGAATTTCCAATATCAAATTCGAAGATCCTTTCATTCGATCGAGTATTTATAAAATTTCGATATTATCTTCTTCGATATTTTCTTTTCTTTTCTTTTTTTTTCTTTTCTTTTTTTTTTTTTTTTTTTTTATTAATTTAATTTTCCATTCGTTCGTTCCATGATCCTTATCCTATTATGTTTTTTTTTTCTTTTTTCCTAAAGAAACGTTTCGAAATCCTCTGTCACAAGAGAAGTCCGGTAAGCGAGTAGTGTCTTCCGCGTGATTGCGCCCACCGTGTGCCAACGAACAAAAGATCTGTCCGATCGAGTTCGATACGTTCGACGCCTAGCGTTAGCCGACAAAGTACACTGGAACAAATGTGTTCTCGAAGAATAAACGGTGCTGGCTGGCTGACTGGCCAATAAGATCGTAGCAGATGGTGGCTATCAGCTGGAACGAAGTTAGGTCCAAAGAATCGATTACCATCGATACGTTTGAACGTCGAGATCAATTTCGGATAGTATTTCGAAGTAGTACAAAGGAATAACCATTGATCACGAAGTTATGATCATAATATTTATTTTATATATATATATATATATATATATATATATATATATATATATATATATGATTAAATTAGATTTGGATTCAGATTGATTTTTTAATAACTCTTTATTAACAATTTGTTATTGTATTATATATTTCGAGAAAAAAAAATAAACAAAAAAAATATACGTATATATTTATTATATATATATATATAGTATATTTATATATATATATATATAAATATATTATATATTTATATATATATATTATATATATATATATATATATATATATATATATATAGTATATTTGTTTAAAACATTACGACATCATACGTTATTATGATTCATAAATTTTCTTGTATATATCTTTATACGATTTAATCGATGATCAATATAGATATAATAAATATATCAACGGTGAGAAGTACCGACGCCTTTAAAGAAGGCCAATGATTGGTTGAGATGTTATGTACGTATATAGTTACTCAGAGTGCTTACCGTTACCCTTGATAAAGGTCTCAAGAGAGATCGTCGTTTTTGCATAATAAAAGTCGATCGAGTAGACTCATAAAACGCGTTAAGTAAATACGATTTCACGAACGTTTATCTTCGAGTTGGTCACGAACGAATTTATTCTCGGGACGTTCGATGGGAGAATTCACTGTGGTATATTTTTTTTTTTAACGAGCTTGCAGAAAGAAAGAGAGACAGAAAGAGAAATCGATAAGGATCTCACTATTGAGCTTACGTACGAGTCGATTCTCGATCACTACTCTTTCCTGTAGTCATCGTTTCGCATGGCTCCTTCGTAAATCCATGTTGTCCGTACCGTTAATTCCGCAAGGTAAGATCTTAAGGAATCCCATGATCATTTCTTATTTCTTCATGATTTTATGCGTTTATTGTCGCAAAAATTATAATACAATCCTAATAATTATTCTTTAAAATCGTGAAAATATTTATCATTCAATTACGTATACATATTCGTAAATATACTTTTTTTTTCATTCTTTTTATATTTTTAACTTTTGAAATAAAAGTATACTATGATAATCGAAATATAAATAAATTGTACATGTGAAATCAGTTTAAACATAACGAAGAATAGATAATTATTATATTCAATATTTTTATCCTTTTAGATTTAAAAATCGATAATATGGAGTTACTCGTTTATCTTTTTTTTTTTTTTTTTTTTCAAGATTTAACATCTCGAAAGTATTACGGATATAATTTAATTTTAATATCGTGAAAAAATATTTGCCATTTGATCATATATCATAATACATCCTTAATACATGTGCATCTACATGTACTTACTTTCTATTTTTTTCTTTATCTTTTATCTTTCTCTACGAGAATAAAAATAATTTTCGATGGATCGTCAAAAAATCAATAATATTTCTTTTGTATATATATATATATATATATATGTGTGTGTGTGTGTGTGTATGTGTGTATATATCTAGAGCGAATATATTTGAAAGATTTAGATAAGTAATATTCGTTTATACAGTCGGTTGATTCACTGGTTAAATCGTACAAAATAAGGATGCGGGCAAACATCTCGAATCACGCGGAGTAAGAGAAAAGGAGGAGAGGAATGCCGCGTATCTTCTCGCGGGCAACGTAAGTGTAAGTTCAATCGTTCGTTTTGTTTCGAACAAGGTGCTGCCGCGTCTGTATAAGATCCCATGGATCTGACGTAAGATGGATATCGTATTTCCTATAATGCATAGCCGGCAGTATCATGAATTCCGCAGAGTTCTCTCCGCGCACGAATCCGCCTTTTGCCATAGGTTATCATCAAAAGACTTAAAAGGGATAGCTCCTGTCTTATCCAAAAAGTCAATGAAAAAATATTTCTCTTTTTGAATTTAACTTTCTTTCTTGCGGCCATTATATTTCTTCATTTATTTATTTATTTATTTATTTATTTATTTATTTATTTTTCTTTTCAACGACTTCAAATCTACGTGTAATAATGAAAGGCAAGAGAAGTGTTTTTTATTTTTTATTTTCTTTCTATTTTTTTTTTCTTTTCTTTCTGATTTCTCTCTCTCTCTCTCTCTCTTTTTTCTGAACGAATTTCAATGCATTTAAAAAGTTTCGATAATCGTAACGAATCATATAGAATTTAATTCATCGAAATGTATTTTTTCATTTGTGACCACGTGAAACGTACGATCTTGAAACGTACAACGATATAAGATAAAGGGAGAAAATTTTTTTGTTTTTTTTTCTTTTTTTGTTTTCTTTCCTTTAACGCATTCTATTATATAGTTAAAAACAATTCGAGGATAGTAACAAAATTGAATTTATTTCATTTCAATTTAAGATGAAAACGTTAATGAAATTAAATGTTACTAGCTGGGGACTAACATATACGTTTGAAGGAGGGTTCGGACATTTGCATAGATTTCCTCTTTGGCTCTGAAAACTTTGGTCCAATGTAAACATTCGGGCATTCGTCTACCGCAACATAAACACGCTACGCGTTCCGTTCGTGTGCCGTCTGGATCGATG